CTTGAACATCTTTTAATAAAGCTTTTTTTCAACCCTAGTGGGAATCTCTAGTTTCTTTAAGCAGCCATAAGCAAATCTGTGGTGTCTGAAATACACAGTATGTTTTACTGGAGCAGATAAATGACCCAGTTTTTCCTATTATGAGTAGTGAACACTTCAAAAGGTACAGTTTTGATCAAAGTGCAAAGGGTTGAAATCAAAGATAAAGCAACTACTTCCTAAGTACAAAATACTTGATTAGCTTGATGAGGATTATTTGTTTTGGGTGATAATTGGTATACCGTTTTTCTATTTCATATCCACTCTAAGAAAAATGGTCTCTGAATGACAAAAATAAAAACTTTTTCAAAGGTTTATATTACTGAGAACATAACATGCTGAAGGAGGGCAGACATTTCCTTCTCATTAATTGGGACTAACATTTATCATGCAGTCAGATATATCGCAGTAGTTAGATATGAGGCCTAAGGTCTACAAAACATAATTCATATACTTTGTTATTATCATATAACTTTATTAAAGACAGTATGGTGATTGATGACAAACCAGATCAAATGCTCTGACATTACTCCTCAAAATGAAAATAATCTCAATATTCCACAAGTTGAGATTTTTTTTTCCCTGTTTGCTATTTTTCTTTCTGAAAGCCAAAGATACTTTCACAGTCCTCTCCTGAACCTAGATAGCTGCTCAGTTTCAATATCCTCTGAGAAATATTGACAGATTTTCCTAGGGGAATGATGTGATACCTCCATTTACCTTGAGACTTCATAAGGATTAGATAGCTAGATAGGAATAAAATTTTACTCAACAGAAATTAGGAGCTGGATCTTGCAAGTCACTTATGAGCATGCTCAGATTTCTTCACATGAACAGTCCCAACAGCCTAGCTCACCCCCATTCCTCCATCCTGTCCCCTTCCCACTATTCCTCAGGATACATCCCTAAACTGAAACTGAAAGGAACAGGACACCTGACTTTTTGAGTATGCAGCCTCCTACCTCTACTACCCATAGAAGGAGAACAGTCCTTCCTGTGCAATGGGTGTGGGAAACCAATTAAACTTCAATTAATGGATAGGATTACTCATGTAAGTGATTAGTCACATCAGAGTTTTCATGATCAGGCCTTAACTTCTGGTGTTTCTTCCCCCATACACTTGATGATGTGACGAGTTCTTCTCCAGGGAGAGAGAACCTTAGGAAATGCAGAGCAGAAGGTGACATTTACGAACTCACAGGAGGGGAATTTTACTCATTCAAGAACTACTGCATTTTGTATCTGTAGGCATTATCATTAATTGAACACTTGTTTATGTCTCTAAAAATAATTAAAAATGCTTTGATTTCAAAATGCAGTCTGGGTATGACTTCTATTACTAGTTAGAAAGTATTTAAGACATCCTGATGCACTTCTACAGAGAGTAGGAGGAAATTATGTTTACCACCTTCTTTTAGGCTGATCTACAAAATGCTGTCCTTTTAAATGTCTCCCAATAACAGATTCAGAGTGAGGATGGCATATTTTCAAGCCTTGTTTTTCTCTTTTGTTCCAGCAAAATGCTGCTTTTGTTTTCTTTACTACTTCTACCTTCCTTCTTGAAGCATGATTATTAATCACTAAAACAACCAAAACACAAGCTCAGTGCAAGTACCTAGAGGCATTTAGGTATTGATTTTGATTCAAGGAATATATTATATAAGACTGTCATTTGAGCATAACACAATTAGACTATTTATAGTAACTCTTCATGTAACTTTTTATGCAGCTAATAAAGTGGTGAAGAGATGCACCATCCAAATTACAGTATCCTGTATCAGCCTATTAAATATGCTCATATTCCTTTTCTTGAATCCAGCTCAAGTCAGCTGATTGAAGAGGGATTTAAGCAAAGGAAAGCAGAAGCTCTTCCCTGACCTTTGAGTAATTTGAACAAAGTATTTTGCTGCCACACAGTTTTGCAAACCCAGGATCATTGGGTATCCTTCCTCCTTTGCTTGGAAGGGCTCTCAATTTCCCTGCTTAGGTGCACTGGACTCCTGAAGGCCCAGCTGTGGAGCAGAAAGGGAGAGAATATCCCATGAGTGATTACACCAGCCTGCTTTCTCTTCTGTAAGTTAGGGTGACACAGGATGAGCAGAGGATCCTTCAATGGTCAAGGGCTCCAGTTTTTACATTGATGAACCCTGCAGGTTCACTGGACTGAGGGTCCTTACACTTTGGGCTTCCCAAATCAGAAGGAGATCAATACTTTACAGCAAATTTTCCAGGCCTTTGACCGCTGAATAATACTGCAGGCCTCATTAAACCTTATTCCTTAGGAAAACTATATAGTTAATATGCACCTGTTGCTTTGATGTTCATATGTACCTGTTACATTGATCCATAGTATCAATGCATTTCTTCACTCTTTCAGGGTGTGAGTTCAAAAGAGCAGTGACTGCCTCTATTCATGCATAGAATACCTCACACCACGCAGGATTATAAAGACAAGGCTTATTGCCTTTTTCCAAATGACCGGAGGGTATCCTTTCACTGTTTAACACACTGGAGTGCACTGACATCCTCACTGGACAAAACTGACTAATCGGGGATTAGGAGCTACTCCATTAGGAGCAGCAGCAGCCACTCTGAGCCTGCTCAGGCAAGAGAGCTCTGTTGCTTTGAGCTCTGAACAAAGTGAGCATTCTGGAGAGCTCCTTGGTAGGGTGAATCTGAGAATCACTGCACTGTACCCCACACTGGGCTGGGGACATTCCCAAACTAAATGGCTTTGGTTTGTAGCTTGGATAAAAAACAAAAGCGAAATGTGGTCTAAAATTAGTTAGGGATCCCTGAAAAGTTTCGTGCATCTGACTTTAGGAAGTTGGTGGCCGGGGAATCTCATGGTCTGAGTGAACCATCGATGGCATCAAGGCAGAACAGCTGTTCCCCATCATACAGAAAGAGGAAATGCACAGCAGTGAAATGTCCAGTTCCCAAATAGACTTACAACATACCAAACAGTGTAAGCAACTGTCACCAGGTGCTACATGAATGTATGGGGCGCTATGGTTTGGAAGAGAAAGTGATGGATGTTAGAGGGTCCATGGGAGTTTTTCAATAAAGCTATGCTTGTACTTTGATCACTCCTTGTTTCTATGGCACTAGATTTGACACAGCTGTTGCTTGCAGGGCTGTTCTTTGAAGAGTCAGAAAATCCTAAAGCTGTCTTTTAGTGAGTGATAGTCTTCTATAAACTATCTGGACTTCTATAAATATTGCTGACTCTATGCAGGGCATCATTAATCTTATCTTCCAGGGAACATCTCTAATCACAGTTCTATCCGCCCATGTCAATCTAGGACACATCCAAGCCTTAGAAATAGCAGTGGAAAAATCATAAAATGTTCTAACACATGGAGTTGGCAGACAAGTGCCAGACAAGATCACAAACTGTGCAAAATGAACAGTTTGCAAGAGAATGTGCTTCCCTTGTTCCCCCGTCCAAGTGCTGGCTGAGTATCCTATGATGACTTCAAATTAATGTACTAGCCCTTCTTTTTCTCCTTCTATGTGAGTTTCACTTTAATCAGAGCTGCCTACTTGACAGTAACACAATTACATACACTAGAACATTTTTGGTTCCATGACCTCAGTGGTCCTCTTAATTTACATTATGAATTCAGCAAGAGTTTTCCAGTTAAAACAAGATGATATTGGAATGGGTGTTAAGTCTGCTGTGCAACAACTGCAGAACCTAATTACAAACTCTTCATATGAGCAAGTAGTAAATAAGAATAAAGGCCAGAAAGAACTGGATGCTTCTGTTCACCATTATCTTAATTGAACTCACCATTCAAGAAATGAATCATGAATGCCAGGAAAGTTGTTTTCTTTCCAGGTTGGACTTAATACATATCTCCCTTGGAAAATGTTATTTATCCATTGCACTAGAACCTAACTACAAAATGTGAATTTGTGGTAAGTTCATGTACCATTTTATGCTGGAAAGGGTTTTTTTTGGTGAGGATTTTGAGGTGTGATTCTGTAATTTGGCTTACTTACAGAAAAAGAAAAAAAAGAAAAAGACCAGTGTTCCCTGGTAGACCACACAGGTAAGACATACTACAGGCTCTTCCTGTACCCAAATATGTGACCTAGGAACACCAGCTTGCAGTGTCTGGCTGAATATAGAAATACTTCATCTTCAGCAAAGGCAAACATATGGCACTGGCACCATTCCAGGTAAACAGACTCACACAAACACGATGATAAATATATGGCTGATGTTGATTGTCTTTGCTGTTAGTTAGTATTTATGGAGCAACCTTGAAGTTTGATGGAATATAAAAAGAAACCCTTTATTGCCACAGTGGCTAGAGCCTCAAGGGCAGTTCCAGGTTTATATACCCCAGACATGAGTTCACATTCTCTGTCATGTGCTAGACTGGATAATTTTACAGCTGTTCAGGAACCAATGAGATCACCACTTCTCAAGCAGTCTTACTGCCTGGTATTCAGGGTATCATAGTTGTCAAGGTATTGGTTTAGAGTTTTAAAATCTGGGACTCTTTTATTTTATTAAGTTTAGGAGTAATTTTTTCAATTATCCTTAGATATTCAGATGATATTTCAGCATAGTGACATGCTGTTAGTGGCCCAGTGTCAACAGAACCAATGGACCAGGTGACCCCCAGAGATCTCATCCAACCTCAGTCATCCTGTGATTCTGTATTTCTTCTTAGCTTGCTTCAGCAGCTTTAAGCCACAAGAAATTGGATCTAAAATTCCCATTATGGAGGTGTAGTCTCTCTTGCATTGCTCAGGAAGAACACACAGCACTCAGGCCTGGAGTGATGCTTAGAGTCAGAAAGTTACTCAAACCACTCAAATCTGACAGCATGGCTGTTGTACCAAGAGACAAGCTTGTAGATTACCTTTGTAACTCCATGAAAAAAATAATAGAACAAAATAATAATTGGTTTCTCTGTTTTTCAGTTTTGGGGTATTTTTTGTTTTTTGTTTTTTTTTTGTGGGGGTAGGATGGTGGGGATTTTAAATGTGAAAGCTTTTCAAAGGCTAAGATTTGACAGAGTTTTCTGAAGATCTTTGTACGCATTTTGAGACATCTTCATTTCCATCTCACACATTTCAAGATCCAGGTGCTTTAGAACATAGCCTGCCCAAATGATACTTTACAAATTACAAAGTGATTCCAAATGGAGTAGCAAAGTCATAATAAATTAATTTACAAACTAGGACCAGAATCTAATGAGCCCATTCTTCAGTATACGTTTGTTCAAAAGTTTTGTGAAGGCATCTTTCATTATATATTCAATTTTGATGATAATTTGTAGTTATTATTCAAAATTAACACTTCCTTCTGCTATCAAAGAGAAAATACCTACTTAGAGAAAATTTCTTAACATATCCATATAGTCTTGTATTCATGTTCAGTGTCACTGAAGTCAATTCCCAATGTACATGTTTAGTAATTATGTTTAATATGCAATCATGTGAACAGATTAGTGACTCCTTACCAGAATTAAAATAACAGCAGGGAAGCAAAAATAGAAGTATAGATTTATTAGAGAAGTTATCTAAAATACAATATTATCTTCCTTTTTAAATTAGAACATATATTATTTCAATGAAAAGATATTTTGTATTATTTCTATGGTAATAACAACTTTTAAAGATGACACTTAATTTAGAACGTGTTTAATTAAAAAAACCCAGCACTACCATTAAGACGTTAACTAAGGCTGTTGACAGCATGGGTAAAAATGCAAAATAGTCTCAAAAATATTTACATGTCAGTTTCTTAAAATCTAAGAAGTCTAATCCTAAATATTCATTTCACTTAGCTTTCTCAAAATACCTTTTTTACTAAATAATAGCTAGATTCTGTATTCCTGTGCTTCTTACAAAGCTTCAAGTTATCGTTAGTTACGTGTACTATCACACCAGTGGATGAGGTTTCTTAAAATGGCTTATTTTGCTACCACCAAATCCTCTCCCAAGTAGCCACCATACTGTTATACCAAAGTTTCAGTCTCAGTAAGTCACCAAAATGCACACAGCCACCCACCCCCTGCTGCCCCCAACCCCACACCTTAAGAACCCTTTCCCATTTGGCCAAGAGCCTTTCACATTTCATTAGCTGGCGTTTCAGATGCAGAGCAAAAGAAAGAATGGATCTGGGAGACAAGATGTTGCCTGGGCACACATGGCAAAGTTTGATTTGGGCTTAGCAAAAGGGGTTCCTCACAAACACAGCAATTCCTAACACTCTCAGCACGGAGGTTACTGGAAGGAGGCTCTGACTTCTCTGCTCTTCAAAGGCTGACACGGGCGCCAGTTGTCCACCATGTGGCACACGGGCTCATTCTCAGCATTGAAGCAAAGGCCACGGATTTTGCACATCTGTGGAAAAAGGCACAAATATCCTCAAATGCATCCTCTCAATTTCAGCGGGACTTTTTGAAACTACGCATCTTGGGCCTGAACCAGAGCTCCAACTCAAAGTTTTGTCGGTGCTAGTAGTCTAGAGATGGCATCAGCACCCAAATGTCTGCATTTCATCCACATCATTTCCAGCCTCAACAGAGACTCTCCTGTCCACAAAATATCCTGGCAAGCACAGTTATGAAAGCACAAAAAACAAGGGCATAGATACACATTTTGTGAACTCCACAAGAAAAGAGCTGTTTGTCCTTGACCCAGATATGAATTGAAATCCTTTCAGAATCCTCTGCAAGTTATGCAGTTCTGGATCTTTTGTTTTTAAGTCCACTTGAAATAATAACAAAAATGGCTTTACCCTGGAGTCAAAATAAAACTGTTGAAAAATTCAAGTTATCTTGATTTTCAAATGCTATAAGAAGGGAAAACCACATCAATAGGAGCATACTGTATAGTTATGGTACTTTTTCCTAAAGTACAATTGGAGCTTGCAAAATCTGATGCAACAAAAGCACCTTTATGTCCAAATAGGAATGTCCAAACCTCACAAAAGGATTGTGCCAAAATAATAACCCACCCCAAACATGATCTCAGACAGGTAGAAGTGCTGATGAACATATGTAGGTGGGACACAATTTCCTACAAGTCAGGTTCTAGACCTGTTTATTTCCACATTCAAGGAAAAATGGCCTCAGCAGTGACCTGTCTCCATTGGACTTCACCTTCAGGACCAACCAAAAAAAAAGCTCAGGGCTCAACCTCTGTCAGGAACTGCTGTGTCACAACAAAGGGTAGCAGGCTTGCTACACC